TGTTAGCCAGGATGGTCTCGATCTCCTGACCTCGTGATCTGCCCGCTTCGGCCTCCCAAAGTGCTGGGATTACAGGCATGAGCCACCACACCCGGCCATTAACGTTTATTTAAAAATAAAATAAGCTACTTAGAATACAGTTACCTTTTTGTAGTCATTTAACAAGAGCTATTTTAAAATTTTTATGTTTCCTTTTTACTAATCATAAGAGAGCTGGAGTAAACAGTATCTATTTAGTTCTAGGTCATTTTTGCCAACAAAGATCCTGGATATCAAGGGGCTCTCTGACAGAGTTCTTGGGAATTCAACTTAATGAACGGTTTAAAGGCAAGAGCAAAGGCCCTGCACAGAAACGCTGTGTTGAATGCAGAAAGTCTAAAGTGTGTTTCCTCACTCCCCAAACAATGTCTAGATTCTAACGAACTTCACGAACGAATTCTCGTTTGTAGATTGTGACCACGGGCAAGAAAAGTAACCTGAGATTGTACAATATTTATTCTGTAGAGCTGGGGAAGCAAAAGGCTACTACTGACCCTAGAGCCTGAGAAGTTGGGATCCACTACTTTAAGTCCGTAGGATAGATTTAATAAAAAGAAATGACTTCTGAGATTGCTTTCAGTCCCACTTCCTCTAATTGGACACCCACCCTTCAAATCGCTACTGAATTTCCTAGTGTCTAATTTCCTGCCACAGAATCCTCTGCCCCGGCTGCACAGCAGATGAGCTTTCCTGCTCTACGGGGATCGCCAATCACATCCACTCAAGGTGGCTCGTGTCTCTGAAGCAGTCCCATGTCCTCTCCAGCCTGGTACGGTCCCCATGGGGAAGAGCACCCTCCTGAATAGGGAGGAGAGGGGTGTTTATGAAACCCGTGGGATCCCGGATCGAATGATGCATTCGGTGCGAACCTAAGTGACTTTCGACCGAAAGTGGCGGGCCCTCGCTCCCACTGCTCTAACCAGGCGCTGGGACGCGGGCCGGCCAGGCCAGACACCTGCTGGCACCCGGGAAGGGCTAGTCCCGGCCAGAGGTGTTGCCCGACGCGGCCACTCAGGCCGCGCTCATTGGCCAAGTGTCAGGCCCTCCCCCTCCTCGGCTGTGCTCAGATGAAGCCCGGAGGGGAGCCTCCCGAGCCCCTTTGCTCACAGGAGCCAGCCCAGCAGTTGCCTCAACTCCTCGGGGCTGGGGGCTGAGGGCCGGGGGGAGGTGGCCCCAGTGTGAGAGGAGGCCGCGGTTGGGGCCGGTGGCCTGAGGAGCGCGGGGCCTTCCCCGGGATGACTCCGCTGACAGGTCTGTGACAGGCGTCCCAGGGAGGGAGACACATGCAGGGCCGTCGGCTCTGCAGCAG